ATCAAAAATTGTAATTTTTGCGTTGTCATAAAAATTTAGTTTTCTCCGTGCGCGTAAAGAAGTAAAGAGTTTTTTGCGCTGCGACCTTTTTCCGTGTGTATTGCGCCCCGAGAAAGGCAGGTAAAATTGTAGCGTGTTGTTCAGCGATAATTATTTAAAACTTTATACATTATAAGTTCATGCGTTCTGTGTTTGTATATTTTAAATATAAATTTTTACTGTCCTTCACACTTTAATCCAGACTTACGACTGGCAGTTTGGTTCGACAAAACAGGCCTGTTTTAAAATATAAATATTATTCATGTTTGTCATGGTATGTACAAAAAATTAAACGTAATTAATAAATGTAGGTGCAATTGTGTCATATTGTAATTCTAGACACCCACTATTATAATATTTGGGCGTATGATAACGCTTTCAAACACATCTCTAAGTTATGATCTACCTGAATTTTTTGTAGAATAATCTTTATTCTTATATCTTGCTGTACATATTTGATTTGATTAGAACTACAATATGACACAAATACAACTACTACATTTATTAATTACATTTAATTTTTCTGTACATACCATTACGAAGATGAATGATTTTTATACTTGAAAACACGCCTATTTTGTCGAACAAAACTGTCAATCCTAAGCCAGGATTAAAGTGTGAAGGAATGTAAAAATTTATATTTAAAATATACAAACACAAAACGCATAAACTTTTAGTTTATAAAGTTTTAAGTAACTATTACCGTACATGGGTTTGTATCTGTATCGATTACATAGTCGCGGCACAAAGAACACGACGCCCTACGCGCTACACCAAAAGAAACACTTGCCATCCCTTGATCGTATGTGCCTGATGCAGTGCATCAACCGCATGAATCATATGCATCATAAAAAACACACTTATAAGTATACTTCATTTACTTTCTCTAGTGATGAGCCCCTTCCAATGTGCGCTGGCAAAATCGTAGGTAGGGAGAAAAAAGCTCATTATACTCTCGACTCTTGTTCATTAAACATACTTTTTCATACAGTACCTGCCAAAAGTTTTGTTCAATCATGAATAGTAGTGCGAGTCGAAAACAAGCGTTAAAGCCTTCAATATGTCTTCAAATATAAATAAACATCTCGTTGATATTTTCACTAGTAAATGGTACCAATAACAGCACATTTGAGCAATGCAATTGTAGTGGATAAAATGGTCAATTTTTTCGTGCAGTACTGTACGGATTTTACGCTCCTCACCGGTTGAGGGTTTGGCCGAGAGTTGTCTCCTTCCTTTTCTGGCCTAGTGCTGTTCTTTTCTACTTTGCGCCGGTCAAACTGAAGGTCACATCGCTACAAAAAGTAAACGAAGTATACCTACTGGGCCTATATAACAGGCGACATATTTTTAGTACTCACGTGGGTCTATGATGCGACAAACACTTAAAGTCACAAATATAATGGATAATAATATAGACATACAAATGTTAATGACAATGCTAAAAGGAAATAACGGAGTTTGTCGTGAACATTTACATCTTTTATCGTCTTTTGATACATACGCACGAATTGATCCAATTATTGAATTTTACGCTCATGACTTGGCAGATTTGTCTAAGTACAGCTACATATATGAGAAGGTCCCACTAAAACTATGTCGCCTATCAAAAGGAAGTTTAAGCCGAAATGATATGTTATGTATTTGTGCTGAGCTGTCGAATTTGAACGGCTAGTTGATCGTGATCTGTTCAGAGCAAGGTGAGCTGGTGCCAAATATAACAATTATTTTGACATCAGTTCGTTCATATGAAATTGAGTTATGGCTAACTGTTTAAATCGTTTCTTGTCATATCTCTAATCGGGACAACCGTAGCTTCACTTTTTAATCGTTAATACAGTAGAACCACTTTAAATCGAAAACCTTCAAAACTCGAAAAAATGCTTTGTTCCCTTCCCTTCAAGCCCCAAAACCTCCATTACTCGAAATCTCAACCTTCTATTAGTCGAAATAATCAGTGAATCTCTGCAAACTATTTTGGTACATATTTTCCCTCTACCTCTCTGTATCTCGAACATAGCAATGTTTTATTTTACAACCTTTATAGTTTGAAACTTATTACGTCTATAGTTCATAGAAAACTATGTTATCGCCTTTAAGAATTAACCGACAATGTAAGTGCACCAAATCTTAACCTCTACAAGTCAAATAAAAATCCTCCATATGTCGAAAACTCTATAACTCGAATTTTTTGGCGTCTCCCTTGATGTTGGAGTTATAGAGCTTTTACTGTATTATCTAGAAATTATATAATTAATTTGAAAAGTTTTACCGTTGATGGGACAAATTAAATTGGATTAGAAGAAAAAGAAAACTGAGGGAAAATGCATTACGGGGGGTATTTCTATACTCGCAACTGGTTGTAAGTGTAAATTTCGGGTAGTAGCCAATTTGGACTATTGCGAATGTCTAATAATCAAGAAGTTGGGAATTTGACAAGAAATGATCTAAACTGATGGTTATCTGCTCAATTGTACATGAACCGATAGCAAAATAATTTGTCTTAATTCAAAATCTGCTCAATTTTGATCCGAACAGAACACAATCCGCTAATTTATTTCGGCCTCTGATAGAATTCGGCATCTCAGCCTTACATCAATGTATAATAACCAATTTTAATGAATTTTACAATTCATAATAACACGCCTTTTAATAAAATTTGTAATGGTAACTTTTAACAGCTGTCAATAAACAAATGGTACATGAGATGTTATCGAGTCAAAATAACTCATATCAATAGTTGCTTGATGTGTATTTACTGAAGATATTTGTCAAAATATTTCTCACTAACATGATTTTCTTATAGGTTTGAGAAACTTGATATTACTCCAAAGAGTGCACAAAAAATTAAACCTGTCTTGGAACGCTGGATGAAAGAAGCCGAAGAGAGGTAAATTCAAAATACTCTCGTAACCCTATTTCCTACGTAATTTAAAAACGCTTGCCCCTAGCTTATCTTAGAAAAGCCTTTTTAATTACAGGTACAAGAGTGGTCAAAATCACCTTACCGACTTTATAGGCGTGGAGCCTTCAAAAAAAAGAAAACGGAGAACTTCGTTTACACCCCAGGCATTGGAACTCTTGAACGCACACTTCGAGAGGAACACTCATCCGTCAGGTAAAATTTCTTCAATATTTATAAGTAGGGGGTTAAACCAACACGGTTTTCTATGATAATGTTTTGGGAAGTCAAACGGAAATCGTGAAATTTCTTAGATGACATGAAAATACCTGGAGGTAGGATGTTAGAGGAACCACAAAGATATAAGAGTTCTAATGAGAAAACGGTTCTTGGCATGCCCTGTATTATTGGTAGTGAATGTAAAACCATGAGAATTTATAAAGGAGTTTGAAAACAATTTCACATTTCTTTTTAAAAATTGTTATCTTACGCGCACTATTTCGGAAATGGTTTGTCTCGATGTTGATTTGTTTTTGACGTGACAACGTCTTATAATTCGATGGAGCCGCCTGCACGCACGAAAAAACATGACTCATGCGGCGTTACCTCGCTCTGAGGCGTTCCATTTAAGGCTTGAAGTGCAAGCGAGAGCGCGGAACGAGCGACAAAGAGGCACAATCGGCCTCCGCGTTCGGCAGCGTTCGACATCTGTCTCTCTCCTACTTGAGTGAGCGATGCGTCCGCGTGGACAGCTGCTATACAATAATACATTTCCATTTACCTCCTTCTCTATATCCATACAAAATATCTATCAAACAAATAAAATTAAAATTTTCTTTTGAAAAATGAAACCATTCCATCAGTATTTTCTTATGACGTTGTCACGTTCAAATATCGTCAGTAAACCGACTTTACAGACAACCGATTTTTTTATTACCTATAATAGGACCAGCGAGAAGGACTAAAGTAAGCTTAATTTTACCTACCCTTATTTATAAAGAAAATTAATTACTGTTTTCAAAAATTATAATTAGATTAGACTAAATTGATCGTACAAATCTGCAGGGATTCAATCGAATTAATTTCACCAAAAGCGCCAATAACAAAATAATACCTAAGATTAACCTTCAAAGTTTTAATGGGTTAAACAAAGAGAAGTCCTTATTTTCTTTTTATTTAATTTCAGGAACAGAAATCACTGGACTAGCTCATCAACTGGGGTACGAGAGAGAAGTGATTCGGATTTGGTTTTGTAATAAACGACAGGCCCTTAAAAACACTGTCAGAATGATGTCCAAAGGAATGGTCTAAAAGAGTCGTCTTTTTCTGTGATTAATCAAAAACTTTATCACCTAATTAAAAACACAGTATATGTAAAAAAAACTACTTAATAAGTTCCATTTCTTGAATGATATAATGTACAAGATTAGTGATAAAAAAAAAGTAAAATACAGAAAGAGAGTGAAGTGAAATACGAACGGAAATGTAAACCTGTATGTTTCCTTTTATTTGTGTTGTGATTCCAGAGGCGCTGTTTATCAATGTATATTTTGACTTTTGAATATGAGTTTAAGTTTATTTATTTTTGAAATATGAAAAAAGGTATTTATTTCTTTTAAAAGATTTTTGTAAATTTGACACATAATCTAAGATGAAAATATAAAAATCAATTTTTGATCACAGACTTTATCTTCTCTTAGAACAACAACGACTTTGTGCCAGAAAATAGTACCTTCAAAAGTCATCATTTTATGTGGTACCTACCGTCATCGCATGGCATTTTTTTATGAACCGAAATAAAACCCACGGTCCATTTCTATTTTGATCAATGGTAAAAAATAAATAAAAATCACATATTAAGAGACTGAACATTTTTCGGCGTTATAAAGAGTGGTCGTTAAATGGAGAGAAATAAAAGATATTATTTTACTATTCTACAATAATATGCATTTACCAATATAGTACAATTTGCACACGAACATTATTATTCATACATTGCGTACAGCCTGTTATCTTCGTCTGATGTTTTTTGCTGCTCCAATATTTTAATTGTATTTTGTTACGTATCTTACTCATATCTTGAGATACTGCTGGATCAATTTAATTACATAAAAAGTATTTTTTTAATAGTTTCGCTGCATCAAGTGCTGGTTTGATGCTTGGTGAAGGGACAGGATCGCCTTCTTCAACAACGTACACAGCTGCAGTTCTTATCTATTTCGACAACTTAAAAAGTACTGCGCAATGATTTATAATGCCGCATTGTTGTCGGTAAATAGAGTGTGCGTGACGCTATATGGAGTGTAATATTGTATAGAAAACAATGTAAACCAACCAGTCAAGCAATTAAGGAGTTTGTCGTTAAATCGAGTGACGTTATAAAGAGTTTACACTGTATTATAGATTTACACCTAAAACACCAGAATTTTTGCTTATTACTAATTCCTTAACGAGAAATCTAGCTCCTGCAAAGAGAAATTGTTGGCCTGTCTTGTTCTTGCAGCAAGAACAAGGTAAAAATAGGAAAGGAAACAAGATCAAGATCGAAATCGCGATCTGCATTTGGCAGTTTCGATAGAATATTACCACCATGGACTTCTTTATTCGCAGAACAAGAAGTTTATTCATAAAACAATACTCCTATTCTTCGCCCTTCTGTAATAAGTTACAATTACAACAGCTGAAAGAAGCTTCTCTAAACTCAAAACTAATTAAAAATAATTGTAGAAGTTTTATGCGTTAAGAATGACTATGCGACTGATCAATAGTCTCTAAAGAAAAGGTACAGAAAAAGAAGCAACAGAAGTGCTTATATGCAAATAGTATAATTTAGATGGATCCTAGAATTCCTAGGATCATTGCTTTTACGCTTCATAACATGTTCACCTTACATATAGTGTACCCAGTAGTTTATTCTACTTTGAAATATCTGTATTTATTTCTTTGTCAGTACTTTTTCTTCTTTTGTAAAAAAAGCACTACTTACTCTTCTTTCGAGTTTCATCATAATCGAATAAAAAGCCTTCCTGCCTTATACTTAATAAATTTTGATACAGGGCCCATTTCGGACTAACTACGCCACTGCTTTTGTTTTAATTTAACCATCAATTATACCACAATATACTTGTAAAAAATGTATAGTGATGGGGGAAGGAAAACAACAAAATAGATATATATGTATTAGTAAGCAACCCCTTCTTGCGGTAGTATTTAAATTTTTCATATGCAACAAAGCCAGTGGCGGTGCATGAACATTATTCATTTGTATCCCACGGACCTCCATAAAATACAATAATGATGGTTGCATTAAATAAACTTACCTTACTATCTCACGACACCACAGCCGTAGAGGTTCAACTGTTGCAAGTCTTTTGTAACTGTGAAATAAGTACTTATTTAATCCTTTTTTCAGAAAAGTTTAAGTTTTTAACACGAAAATCACTAAAACAACACAACGCGTCGTTATTTCATTGTAAGCAAGCATTTCGAACAGTTTTTCTTATTAAAATTAGCGTCTCGATTTATCAAACATCTTTTCACCGAATAGCACACGACAAGAGGCACCTATAACCTAAGTTTTATACTTTTTCAGTCGAACCTGCGCATCTGCACATTCTACCGCGACTAGAGTCACTTCGGCTGCTTCTCAACTAATGCCGATCTCGAATATTCCCGAACCATTGACGCAACTGAATTTAAGGAGTTTAATTGGTTTAAACAAAATAGATACTAGTGACGAAATTCCAATGGCAAGAAGAAGGGTACATGAATTTAGACAGCCCATACAAAGTCTTATGTATGACGATTTACGACAAATGTAAAAAATAAAAGACTATACAATATTTTTCCAAAACACCCTAATAATCTTCCTCGATTACAACGAATTTCTCTTCAAACAAAAATTTTCGTTCATTAAACCCAAAAGTTCACATAAAACGTTAAAAAAAGCCATTACTGCTAGTTTTGACAGAAATACTGGCCAAGAACGTATTATTCTATAAAGGATATCTAAGTAAATGATAAAAGAATTATTGGCAATAGCCACTTTATTGGTTTCTTTTATAAAAGTATAATAAACATTGTAGCTATAACACTACTATAATAATACTGCTTAGTACTTAAATAGGTAAGTATGCATTCCTTAGGGGTTGTCCATAAAATACATCACTCAGAATTTCACCTTTCTAGACCCCTGCCTCCCAATCACACTTTTAGCGACCCCCCGACAAATATTACATCACAGAATCTAGTCCACTCCCCCCTTATAAACGATTATTTATGTTTAAAAATAGCATGAAAAACTGCCAAGTTAAGAAAAACATTAAAATGAAATTGTGAAATTCTTAGAACCTCCCTTCCCTTGTCATATCTTGTCCTGCTAAAGAAAATCCCTCTCTACCCCTTATTTGCGAATGTATTTTATGAACGACCCCTTATTTAGATCTATTAAATACGGGCTATAATTGTTAAGTATAAAAAAACGGTTTGTAGAGGTGCAATTTATTTGAGGGAATCAAATTTTAAGCCGGAAATTCATTAAAAATGAAAATTATGATACTTTAGCAAAATAATAATAAATAAATAGTAAAATATTTCGAAGCCTCTTGCCCCGTCCGTAAAAATATATCTATGGTTTTGCGAACGAACGCAAAATAAATGAGATTGATTGATATATTAGAATTAGTATTAATACTTACAGTTTTGATCGACAAGAAAAATAGATACATCTATAAACCTGTTCAAAGGGGGTCATGAAAGAACAATGATAGCCTACATTGCATTATATACAATATCATAAAATTGTTAGATATGCATTAGTTGAAAACACGACTGGTTATGGCTTACTCGACATCTGTCTGCATGTAACAAATCCTTCAAGACAATTTTGAAATGGGCTAAAATTTGTACACTTGTTAAATTATAAATAAATGAATATTTTTAATAGATAGCTTTTACCTAATAATACAACAAGTAAAAAAAAGAACATCTAAGATAATAAAATAAATGCCATAAGGGGGCATGACATAATTTCGTTTAATTTAACCACTTAAAAAAACTGATTTCAAGGTCACAAAATTTCAGATGTCCCTTTACCTTTGCTATTCGACTAAATAACGAAAACAAAAATCAAATAAGTATGACAGTAAAGCAAAATTAAATTAAGTAGGAATTTCTGTTTTGTTACCACTTTTTATAATCATAAATTGCCCCTTCAAATTATCGTCAGGTATTGATTTTGATTTACGTTCTAAACATTCAACTATTGTATAACCGATAACACCAATCAATAACAAGCCCAGTAATAAATATATTTTGATATCTGTGCATAAATATGGACTGTAAGCGTAGGTTATCACAGATCCTGTCGACTCCCACAAACGGAAGTTACTGTAAGCTGCTTCCTCTTTTCCGGGGAACAGAATACCATAAAACGCTAAAATAAAATCAATTTGGTAATATTGTCACTTATATATGTTGATGATAATACACTTTAAGGACAATTACTAATAACTTTGCTCACATTGACCATTGAAGGTATTAGAAGCTTAAAAAGGGGGCAAAGAGACATTCCATGAATGCCTTCTAATTCTTTAATTGAAGAGAGCCTAAAAAATTTTAAACTCCTTGGAAATGGATAATCTAAAATATTGGATCGATATTGTTTTCCGGGTTCAATGTCATGGTCCATTGAATTTTGAAGTTCCAAATTGATATCAGTACCTGCCAAATCACAACTTATCGTACGTTTAGCAAGGAACTACGAAATTCTATGAATTTCAACAAAACAGCCCGCAAAACAATATCGAATTGATATACATCAGCTGTGTAAAATTGAAAACTACAAGATATTGTGGTGTGTACTAATAAATGCATACAATCCAAAATTCTAAGAAGACGATTCGAAAAAGTTCACTTATTAGATGAACTCAAAGCTAAAGAAACTACGGATTTTATTTTTTCTCTCATAACGATGTGTAAAAGATCAGAAACAAAATGGGGTTGTAAATATTTTGATATAAAATCATTGATGTTGATTTTACATCAATAAAATTATTTTCAGCCGTATTTTGGCTCTGATCTTTCACGCCTAGTAAACTATTTTGACATCAGTGTATTTTTTCCAAATAAAAAAGGTAACAAAAGTAAATAAGGAATCATATAGAAGAATTATTTGTTTCTGAACTGAAGAAACTATAACATAAAGATAGAAAAACTATACCTCAATCACACACCACTATTAGTCTAGAAAAACTCTAATATTTAAAAAATGAGGATATGCATGAAAGGTTTTCTTGAAAAATATTTTATACTTAAGTAAATGTAGAAAATTAAATGGGCACTATAAAAAAGTATTTATTTGAAGAAAGTATTTTGAAAAAACGTATTTTGCATTTAGCTTTGAAAATACAAAAGGGAAATCTATTTTGTATTTTACATTTGAAATGGCAAATCAAAAAAGTATTTGCATTTTGTATTTAAATACTTTTAAAAAACCATTTCGCACATCTCTGGTAACAAGTAATCATATAATTTGGGTACTTACAATTTACTTGAACCAACCACATAGCATCAGCAATACCCCACAGTCCTGCAAT